TGGAATAAGCTATTACCGTAGGTCTTATGGTGAGACTTGGACCCGGGACCGATTTACTTTTTCGTTTTGATGTCCCTAGGGACCAAAAACGACACTCATTCAAATCCATATATGTGTGTGAGTGTGTCCTAGCACGATACCTTGAGGAAAAGTGATCAGATTCCAATGAAACGTTATACAAACGTGTAAACCTACGTTTATTCGAACGAGTTTGCGAACAGTGTTATCAGAACGGGGACGGGGTTTTATGAGGGATTTATGCAGTAAAAATTGGGGTTTATCATTTTTGACCCTCGAAACTAAAACTTTTCGGTTTCTCTCTAAACCATTTTGAAGAGCTTAAAAAACAAATTATTGATTACAGAGAAAATTTAAACAAATGGCAAATTTAAAATTCTCATGTTATTCTTATGGAGAATGAGTAAACTGGTGTAGTTTGCTTGTTTATTGATGTATTTTGATAAAATTCTCAAACATAGGTACTCGTTGTTATTGAAATATATTTAATTGAAAATCAAATCAGGCAAATGGAAATTAGCTTAGTCTGCAGGTATGCTGTGGCGGGGGTATTTTTTTCTTACAATATTTTGATTACAGCAGTGGTGGTATGAACAATATCTGAGCACCGAATTCAGACAGCCTCATTTGTTACTAGCCTAGATTGGCAATGCTGTTGCATAATTTATTGCTCGGATTATCCGCATCAGCTGTTTCATTCATTTAGTTTACGACAGTTATTTTGTATCCCTAGCCAGTGGCAGTTTAATACTTGTGTATCTATTTGAATTGTTTATGAATTTTTAAAGTTTAAATCAGCACACTACCAGTTGTATGTAAAAGAGTTGTTTACTAAATACGATAGTTACACGTCTTTTTGTAACATAATGGTTTATCGATGATTTTGGTGAGGGGAAAATGCTTATCCCATCGTAAAATCTGAAGGTTTTTCTATTAGTTATTTGTGTTACCAAAAATATTGTGAGAAGGTTTTTTTGCTGCACATTAGAGAAATGCTTTAGCACGAGCCCCGGGCGAGTGTGGAAAGTTTCTCGAGTGTAGCAAAGGATTTTGCGTTTTTCCTACAGTTACTATAAAGCAATAAATAATAAGTCTTTCAAGCAATATACAACACGTTTTTGAAGTCCAAGCCTTGAACTAAATGGAAAACGCTGCACCACCTAGCTGATCGTAGTCGTGTTGCCAACTTATTTTCAAGCGTACACGTATTACGTGCATAATAAAAGCAGACTGTTTTGTGTTGTTTGGTTGGAATACTGGAGTGCAGAAAAAATGAGTGCAACAAAAAAATGGGTGCGACAAAAAAATGTCTGCGGTAAAAATAGTGCGGTAAGGATGTAAGTAAATGCAGCAATTATCTAATTTGCGTGCTGTTTTCAGTACAAGGAAATCAGTGTTATAATCATGTGTCTGGTAACTGTTGGAAAATTTATTTATATCCATGCACTTAGTAGAATCAGGGTTTCCTCCGTTACTTGCTACGATTTTTTACACCGATTTTTACAATTTAGATGTCACTTTAATCAAATGGTCTAGCCGAAGGACGAATGGCAATTTCATTTGAAACTTCACCCCTCGAGCGTTTGAATGATTTCTAGAGCTTAATTATTTTGAGATGCATTGATGATGACCAACTATATTTATAAAGATTTTTCAAAGTGAGCTGTAATTAAATAATATCCTTCAGTTGAATTATTTACTAAAGTCACAGGCAGATAGTAGTTAAGAAACGTAACTGATAATGAAAATGGATTTTATATAGCTTAGGCTACTTTTAGCGATGATTGTAGCCTGATTGAGTGAGACAAGCCACTCTTGATGGCATATCTACAATCAACAAATCCCATTTATTGTAATTATTAATCTTCCTTCCTTTTGCCTAGAAAACTCTAACTCTATTAACATGCGCAATTCGTGTTTAAGTCCCTTTGTATTGGTAATTGTTGCAGTTATTCTTGTTTTTATTTCACTTGCTTTCTAATACACAGTTATATCCATATTATTGGTTGTGTTTGTTCTGTTGTATTTAAAATACTACCATGTTATTACTGTTGTAGAGTATTATTTCTTCACATAGTTATTTATTTGTATTTTTTTTCTTTTTATTACATCTTATAATTTCACTGAAGTTTATCATTGAATGTTTTACAGGATTTTTTTTCTCAAATTTATTGTAGACTATTACTTTGATTTAAACACGTATTTTAACGGTTGTACATCCCGTTTAAATGAGTATGTGAACATCAATGTAATGAATGACGGAAAAGAAACCATAAAATAACACAAATAGTATATGTTAAAAATTGTATTATGACTTAATTTATATCCCTTACTAGTTTTTTTTTCTCGAGAACTACATTTTTACTCGGTATCTACAACAAGACGTTACAATGGAACAAAGGTTGCAGGATTGGAATCTCAAATTGCCAAGTTAACGTGGAATAGGTGGAGGGAAATGAAATAATATCATAAAATATAGTTTATTAAGTTTCAATTTGCTTCACTAATCCCTTTTCAATTTAAATTAGTTAATTATTTACAAAAATTATAATTTTAACAAGCCTTCAACTTTATGAATGTATTTTAACCATTAACAGATATTTTCTTTTAGAGAATTGCACTCTTAAGACGGATTTCATCCTCCAAGTCTGTAATTAGTAAATCTACATGAAGAATATTAAGTTCAATTATTAATTATCAGTGTAATCCGTGAAAGTTTATGAACTGAATGGTGAAAGTTTAAACTGTTAAATCACTGAGATTTCATCTAAATACTAAGGGAGTGATTTTTTTCTTTGCAGTTAACAGTCCCTTCAATAGTTAGAAGATTTTTCTAATCATTAATAATCTACTTATTATTGTTTTAGACTACTAAACTACAATCACAGAGAAAATTTACATGCATAAACTCAACCCAGATTAAACCCGTTCTGGAATGAATTTCCCTCCGAAATTCCCCTTTTAAATGTATTGTTGTGATTTGGGTTCTCACGCAATAACTAATTAAAATCAATCGATTTTCATAAATTTTGTCCTGTTTCAAAGTTATTATTAATATTTTTATAGAACAAAAAAAACAGTATTTCTGACCCAATTTTTTTTATTGGCCTTACAAGAAAACATAAGTAGAAAAACAATTATCACAGATTATACTTAACAGCCCTAGGCTATCACCGAGGGAAATCAATTCTAATTATTTTCTATTCTAAACCCCCCTAAATAATTGAACATTTTAATCAAACTGATTTAGGATTTATAAATTTCAATGAACAAACTACTTATAAATGTATAAATAATGTGCTATGTTCTGGATAAGGACTATTCGTACATTTGAAGAAAATGTTATAAGAGGATTATTAGAGACGGGCTTTATCAAAGCGAATGTTATCTCTTTCTGTTCAATAGTTGAATTGAATCCTCGAATGTAAAAATAAACGAAAACCTCCTTAAATGGGGAAAACTTTTTAAATTAATTCATTACCTTATAATTTTCATTATTCAAATAGACATTTCTTTTTGAGCTCATTTGCTTTATTTATAGAAAATGGTGCTTTTAGACTGTTCAAAGCAAATACGTTGTATCGTATTGATATGTTTTCTCATTGAAAATATCCTAAATTTCTTAATTATATCTTAGATTAAAAGAGTATACCTACTCCTTCAATCTATGATTGTATATTATTATTAGTACCATACCGAGATGGTGTCACAAATAATACAAACTAATTTGATATCAAATAAGTAACTTTAATCATGATAGGCCTTTTATAGTAACTGCACTGGATGGATGGTTTTTGTCTCCTTGGTGTTAATTTAATTCAACGTTATTGTTTATTAATAAGTGAAAGAATTTCTTTACCTCTGCTTTGCATCAGATAAAATGTGATTTTTAAAATGCAAAGTAGGAAACATGTACACACCCACTGTTGAATATATAACTAAAAGTCTTGATTCCAAACTAAACATTTAAAGTATCTCATTGGATTATTAGGCTAAAGGTTTGTCTGGTTCACTTGAGTCGTTATCAGGAAGCGACACTGACCACTGATCAATAAGCTCATTTTGACTTCAATTCAAACTATTTTGAGGGTGAGATGGAAAAAGAGTTTTTATTAATACGAAATCAATCATTTATTGAAATTTTACTATAGTTTGTCATTTGTATATATCCAATGCTTCTAGAGCTTTTATCCTACATCTATCGAGAACAGGGGAAATTGCAAACCCGTTATCTCATATATTTGGTTATTCAAATTATTTATGAAATAATAACACTAACTCAAGCGAATGTTAAGTTCAATCAATTTTAACAAAATCACTGGCCAATTAAATTTGTCGCGACAGGAAAACAGAAAGTTTAAATTTTGCAATGTTTTGCAATTTTGTTTTGAATTGTTTAAAAGGTTAAATAGTCAGAAATAAATATTTAAATTTGGTACACTATAAAACAAATTAGTTATCAAAATATGCTTTTACCAGGCAAGATACGTTATACAGTTAAGCTATAGAGTAGTTTGAAGAATTAAACTATATTATTGCACCACGTACATCCCATATAAATAATGCATCACCTAATTAGAGCACCATAAGATAGCTTCTTGATCAGCATCGTACGTTTTATTAAATTACCTGAAAAAAAAACAAATTATACGTCTAATAACACTAATTTACTAGTGTTATTAGACGTATAGTTTGTTGTTTTTTCACCATAAGATGTCATTCAACATAAATAAATATAATTAACCTTATATTCGTCAACGAAATGTTAAATTTAACATTTCTACCAACGGTTTAACTTTTTATTGCCATTTGCAACGCAACGTTGTTTGTGTACTGCAACATATTATATTTATTATTGTTTCAAAGATAGTGCATGTAGTTTAATCCAATAATAATTGTGTTGAGTCAATCGATCTTATCTCTAATAAGTGATTCGTTATCAGATCTTATCAGTGCGCTGAAGATGAAGTCACCAACTCAAAATGTATATTCTTCCATTGCTAGTCTCTCTACTGCAATGCTCTTATCAGCTAGGAAAGTCTCTTACCCAGGTATGTTTCATTATCTATCTTTACCCAGTAAAAGTTATATGACTAAGTTAAGCAAGCCTTAAAAGAAAGTAGTTTCATGCTACTATACTCGGGAGTTGGAAGTATGTTTGGTGTAAATAATTACACGTGTTACATTATAACTGCTCATATGGGTACATAGGTTTTGATTGGTCTACGACATGGTATGGACTGATGGAAAGAGGAGTGATTTAGGCAGCGTTGGAATAAGTGGTGTGATATGACGTCATGGGAATAGCCCCGAGCTCCTTTCTTTATAACATCACCTGATTTCTCATATTTCCAACGTAAACTTACGATATATAATGGTAACATCATGGTACAAGTATCAAACTATAGTAATATGGTATGGATGGAATATGGTACAGGAAGCATTGAGTAATACTTAAGTAGACATTTCGTTGGTTGAGAGAGTGCAGCTAGGGAGTAACATAAAAAACAAACTTCATATATAATGTGCCACCGATAAAGAATCTAGAGTATGCAATCAAGAACAACAAGACTCAATCAAAGCAATCAAGAAGAGGTGTGTTGCTAGCCTAATGGTTAGCGTCTAAGACTTCGGTGCGGGAGGGATGGGTTCAATCCCCGGCACATCCACAAAACTTTAATGGGTTTGAACCGCTTTCTCAGGTGTTTGACTTCATTACTTCATTATTAAAGTGCCATTGGCGTAGATACAAGCATAAAAAAGAAAAAAAACAATTCATATAACAACCCTAACGGATTCATTTCTCTGAAATTCCACGATCACTTCGTAACAAATTAAATTATTCTCATGTTCCAGGAAATCCCCACCAAAAGATTCTACATGAATCAAAGGGATCTGCCTGGGGACTCAAAAAGGAGAAGGCAGGTAATGGTTATGTTAACATTAAAATGTGCATCTATTGCTAACAGTATGTATAAGTTATGACAATACTATGTTTTGTAAAGTTTAATTGTTTTAGGTTAATATTAACTCGTATGTACGCAGGCATTGTATTCGTAGTTTTTCTTCTATCAGAATATTCGAATTCAAATAGTTTGTATTGACGATTGTTACAAATATTGTTTCAAAAACCATATTTTATGTTTTCGGTGTGTTTGTGTATCTGCCAAAAACTTAAAATTTCTTTTATATTTTTTATGGATATTTTAATAGCTGGAATGGAATGATGGAGGGTAATTCACTTACTGATTATTGTTCTGAAATACTTTTTGGTATAAAATTTCACTTCATAACGAAGCCTAATAGTGTCTGCTGGACAACATTTGTTTACATAGCTCGGTATTCATTTTTCCGAAATTCAGCTGAATCTATATCGCAAAAACAAATCAGACATGGAACAGCACTTTTTGAAAAGCAAAGCACTTTTATATTTACATGTGAAAAGTGGAGGAGTTCAAGATTGGTGTTGAGAACCTTTTTAAAAAATTTCTTCATACAAAAGCTCAATTTTTCTCATAAATCAAGTTTAAAGTTTTTATTGGACAGCGCTGTTCATTTTAGGAATCCATTCAACTGAAACCTCCACCAGCTGATTGGCCATCTCCTACCCTTGGAGCAGCTGACTTCCTCTACGATTTGCAGGAAGTGACGTCATTCTCTCCTCTACAGGCCTACCAACACAAACTGCAAGAGGTATTTAAATAAAATCTTCAATAAAATAAGCTGCAAACTTAAAATTTTAAAACCTGTATACCAGTTAACCGCTAAATAATAATACGTGTTTCCACTTTAAAATGAACATGGTTTTAAACAACATAAATGCTTAACGTAATAAATTGAACCACAGATAATTCAAAATAAAATTATGCACACACTACCTGAGTTGGTTGGTCGAATGAGTACATCTTAAACGTTGGCTGCCATCAACAGATAGATTAAATTTATTCTGTTCTATGTATAGCACATTTTTACTCACTCTATTTTGCAATACCCCTGCATTCATATTTAGTTTTAAATGTAGAGTGTTTGTGTATTATAAATGAAAATTAAGAGAGAAAATATATAACCCATGTTAACAAGAAGAACCAGAAAGGAATAATGTTTAGTTTTACAATATTATGAGTTTATTAACAATTATCAGTTATTAATATTACTTTATACAGGCTAGTAGAAAATATTAACTAAAAGAACTGAACATTAAATGCGTATACAAAATTTATAAAAAAATTGCCGTTGTCTCTTAAATTATCAATTGTTTAACGCGATCAGCATACATCCTTTTTCATTGTAATAAATCCTTGTAAATGTCCTATAGTGTTAACAAATCAAACAAATTATAACACTAAGGTATTTCAGTCCGGTTTTTGTTTACTTACTTTAAACAATGTTGTATTTTTATACCATATGCAATTTCCCTGCATCATCTAAGTTTCAACCATGACCTCGTGGAATTATTTATTTAGTAATGCTAATGGAGTATAACATTTTTATATTTATTTTCCATGTCTTAAGATCAAATGTTATAGGTGTATTTATAATGAAAAATTAAGTATGAGTTTACTGTAGTTATATACTTACACCTCTGTCACTTATAAAAATCCTTTAGTTCTTGTATTATTATATTAAGTGTATTGAAGTGCATGTCATCGTTTGAAACTATTGCTATTTGAAATCTGTAAATCTTAAAATATGCCTTATCAAAATGTTTGGCTGCCATACACTAAGAATAAGCTATGTTTATACTAAAAATGAAAAGAAAAGAATGCGAAAAAAAAACTTGTTTACTAAACTGTATTAAAAATATAAGGTTTTTTTCCTACGACGCTAGGCAAGAGCCTGGGATTGTTTTTTCATGGTTTGTTCATAAATAATTACTTCAGGCTAGACCTAGGGGTTGCGGCATTATCACTTAGATCAAATCCATTGGTGACTTGGCGGGGATCGAACCCGGGACCTCAGAGACTGAAGTCCCGCGCTCTAACCACTACGCCAGCTCGCTCCCCCATGTAAAACAAAAACAAACAAAAAATTAAAAATATAAGTGGATATTTAATAAAATAATACCCCTGGTTCCTTATACTAATGTTTCACTAGTAGTATCGTATAAAATAAATTGTATTAAGTAACGTCCTGCGTAAAAAATAAAACATGTAGAATATTACCACATGTTCTGTAATATTCTAAACTTTAACACACTTTCAGGAGTATCTGAAAAATCTTGAAGAACAATCGCATAAAAAGCCTATACAAAACCAACCAATCAAAGAGGAGGAGTCTGTATGGTCATCTTCTGATGTACGTAACTCAGTTTAAATATTTGTATCTGTATAAGCGAATTCAAGCAAAATACATTTAGTTTTTAGTATGCAATCATGGTATTGATCTTAATTGATTACTTGAGGAGTTGTCTAGTAAGGAGACTACTTAACACGTCTGGGAAATTTCTCTTTTTAATTATGCTGAAATCCCCCCGTGCACTAAGACATTAGTGTTTAGCCAGTTTTGACCCCAAAGACTTTGGACAACAATTCAATGCTTAGACTGCTGGTATTCTCACCTCTTTTAATAGACATTTTAAGTTGTTTCAGGACGGATTCTAATAGTTTGTGTACAATGGGTTGACATTTATTAATTCTCAACGTAGGTTATTGATAAATTGAATTTAAAATTTGAAGCGAATAAGCGTTTCTCTCTATGAAAAACGTGTTTGACCTCATTAGCTTAAATTAAAGTAGCTCAATCTTATAAAAATTATAGACCAATTAAAGTACTAAAATTTGTTAAGGTTTTTGTTCCACATTCCTTTGAAAAGTACCTCGTTAAGCTTATACAAAAATACTTATTGTTTTTTGTGGTAGCTGTAAACACACTATTACATAATACTACATAAAAAATACAATAACACAAATTACATTGATAAAGATGTTAAAAACGCCAATTTACCATCCGGCTGGTTAAAACAAAAAATTAATTTATATTTCAATATGAAAACAATTTATATTATTTTTTCCAGGAAGACTTCAAAAAGTTATTGGATCCAAACGAGTTATTGAAGCTAAATAAAAAGCTTGCACCAATATTGACGAAACAAAATAAAATAGGCTCCACTTTTAAGAAAATACTCAACGAAAAGAAGAAAACTATCGGGACAGGAACGACACCGAGTAGTAAACTGAATAAAATAACCTCGACAATCTCAAGTCATCTGAAGAAAAATGAACATGAGGTAAACCAAACATTATCAAACTTTTGGACTGATTATAACAAAACCCTACACATACAGCTGAACAAAACCCTAGGGCCTAGACCGGCGCTTTCCAAACTATGGATTGCAGGGCCGATTCTATGGAGTCGCAAAAAACTAATAAATTCTGTACACTTCAGTGTTATCAGTTGAAATTATTTAAAGTAAAATATGTACAAGCCTTTCTTGTGATATTTTTTATACTCCTTCAAGTTAATTAACAACTGTCTGCAGCCTAAAAAACCCCAAATAGAAAACCATAATTTAAAAATCCTGCTATTCAGCTATAAACCTAGTAACGATGAAGTATTGTGTTATCCTAATCTTAAAAGAAATCATAGATCTGGTATAAATATTCTTTTAATTAATATTAAAACTGATAGTAACTAAAATTTCAACCCCTGGCATCATAATACTCAGCTAATATTGTGTTTGGTACTCAGCTATTTCTATACATAAGTAAAAATTTAGTTTAATGATTAAAATTTGAACAATTTCATTATAATTTATGCACGAAATTTACAGGCAAAGACTACTGACAACCTAAACACTTCCTTGGAACACAAAAAGACAAGAATAAAAAAGCGGTTGAAGCGAAAGAAACTCGCCGAAAGTAAAACTGGGGACAAAGTGAAATCTAGACGGAGGAAAGCGAAATCAAGAAAGTTTGCGTTTGATGTACACGGATCAGGCGAACATATCAGCAAAGCGTCTAAGGAGGATGTATTGAAATTGAAAAGAGTGACAGCTTCAGTCGAACTAAAAAAGAAAAGTTCTTCTTCAAGTGAATCATCTTCGTCTTCGAGTTCCAATGAGGTACGAGCTAATATTGAACTCATTGCACTATACAATCTATGCGATTACTAATATTATTTTTTCATGTTAATTGTACAAGTTACAGTTACTAAAAATGCCTGTTAGTTTTTCTATCAAGCACAATAGATCATTCTATTCATAAACCTAACTTATTTAAGAAAAAAATATGACTAGGCTATGCTTAATATTTAAATGTTGTATTTAAAACAAAGTTGGAAGGTATCAGTCAAGTTAAAAATGAGTAATTGATTCATATCCTTAAAGTAAAATCGTAAATTAGCGCTTTGTATAGGTACTTTGTATTTACTTTTCATTACCTCTATAAAACGTTGGGAGGAGTAAAAATGTTATTAAGAACTATGAATTATTTACCGTTTAATTTATATACAATGTTGGGTAGACTACCCACGGTATCATTTTTATACTGAAATTCTTGTAATAATAAACTGAAAATAAATTCCTGTATAGATTTAGTTCATTTGGCTGTTATATATATAGATATGCCTTCTTTTGTGCGGTAGTAGTTTAGTATAAATACAGTTCATTACGAAAATATCGCTCAATTTGGTTTGTGAGTAGTTAACAAGAGTGTCTATATTATTGACAACACCCGCAAGGTCAAGTTAACATAGCCTTTATTCATTATACAGGGTGAGTTTTAAATGTCCCCCCCCCAACTTTTTTCTACATTTTTTCAAATATCAATCCCAGACCACTTCCAAACATTGTTGGGTAGTAAGTACTTCATTTTGACAAGGTGGTCATTTCTGGCCGCCATCTTGGATCCGCCATATTGGATGCAAAATATTTTTTTCAAATATAAAGGTGGGGTTCTGACCCATTATTTTGAACTAGATTTTTACCTTGATTACAATGCCACAAACCGTTTTTTAAAATCTTGATTAATTCAAAAGTTATGAGGGCTTTTTAAAACTTTATTTTTAGCCCATTTTAACATTGTGCATTTACAAACTAAGGACCATAATCTCAAAATAGTGCTAGGTAAAGATAAGTATACACTACCAGTCATTGTCGACTTATTTTCACTTGGTTATGACTGATGTATTTTTTTCGGCCGCCACCTTGAATCCGCCATTTTGAAATGTGATATATTATTTTAAATATGAAGGGTGCGTTGTGACCCATCATTTCGAAATACTTTTTTAAGCTAAACTCAATGCCGCAATCATTTTTTTGTTATCAAGTTTTATTTATGAGATATTGCATTTTTTTTTGTTAAAACGTGAATATTTAAAAATCAAAATATGAAAATGAAAAAACGGATCATGGAATTGAGTTCAGCTTAAAAAAGTAATCCGAAATGATGGGTCACAACACCCCCTTCATATTTAAAATAATTTATCATATTTCAAAATGGCTGATCCAAGATGGCGGCCGAAAAAATTACATCAGTCATAACCAAGTGAAAACAAGTCGACAATGACTGGTAGTGTATACTTATGTTTATCTAGCACTATTTTGAGATTATGGTCATTGGTTTGTAAATGCACAATGTTAAAATGGACTAAAAATACAGTTTTAAAAAGCCCTCATAACTTTTGAATGAATCAAGATTTTTTTAAACTGTGGCATTGTAATCAGGTTACAAATTTAGTTCAAAAAAATGGGTCACAACCCCACCTTTACTTTTGAAAAAAATATTTTGCATCCAATATGGCGGATCCAAGATGGCGGCCAGAAATGACCACCTTGTCAAAATGAAGTACTTACTACCCAACAATGTTTGAAAGTGGTCTGGGATTGATATTTGAACAAATGTAGAAAAAAGTTGGGGGGGACATTTAAAACTCACCCTGTAATTAATTGAGCATATATGGTTTTTTTTAATATTGGCAAAAATATAAGCCTACATTTTTAAGTAAACATAGTGTGACTGAAAATAAACAAATAGGCATGTAAAATATTAAAATATTTACAAAACTACAACAACAAAAAACATACGTTTTTTTTCATAGAATGTAAATATTTAATTAAACTAAACGATTCAATATAATTGTTGTCAAAAATATTCAAGTAGTAAAATAAAAATGCAAACAAATAAAAACACAATAATTGGTTTTAGGAGATCCATTCGTCTTCAATTCACGAACACACAACTGAAGAAAACAATACCACGTCTTCAAGTCTGAAAACAACAACAGAAAAATATATTAACACAAGACCTACAGTTCACGAACATATAACTAGTATTCCTGCTCAAACTGAAAAGTCTTCACTGAAAGAAATTTCGAGTTCAACTGAATCAATGATGATGACAGATAAAAGTACAGTCTCTGCAAGAAAAATGGTAATTTATATCACCATTATTTACTACTAATAATTGGAATTTGGTGAAATTGTTTGCCTGTTCTCAGTTTAGTGGTGTTTCGATTTGAGTACATATTTGGTATCGAACGGAAATCCAAAGTATCAAATAATATAGGACCTGTTTAAACCTACACGATTCAATATAAGATTAATTTTGACAAATATTAAGTATTAACAAATAGTGGTGCAAAACTAATCAGCTGTATTTGTGTTTCCCTTGAATAACAGGTTGTTATTCAATTCAAATAATTTGTTATTGTTGTTCAAGTTGTTGTTCATCAATGGAAAGATCGTGTGTTTTAGTTCGTTTTGATTTGGTTATGTTTTGTATTGGATACTTGTATAACTGTGGTTGACGTTTTGATTATATATCTACTACAACGCAATAGAAGGCGTTTAGTGCGTTGGGGTTTTGCTACAACTAGTTACAAAAAAGGAAATAAACTGGTGTTTATAAAAATATTGAGTAATATTCTTGTTGTTGTTAGAATTTTCCGGTACAGATTCTAAGTATATTTTTAGATATGCTTTGTTAAAATAATAAGTAAATTATTTTTTATACAGGTATATTATTAAACAGAAATTAGTATACCATCAGTATAATTAATCTATGAAAACATACTTGAAGCATAGATGAAAAAAAATTAAAAAAACTATTTATGAAGTGAATACTTTTGTGAAATGTTTTTTTCCCCTTAGCACTTACTACGCTCAGATGTAACTTCAAAAATTTATGTTTAGAAATGTGTAATTTACAGTGTTATAAAAATTTAACTGTGGCTACAAATACCGTTCCTCTTATACACTCCTAATCTTTAGTTTACTGTAATTCTTACTGTCCAAATTACAATATTTTCTATTTTCAGGAGCTACGGGAGAAACGAAGACAAATAAAAATGGAAATGAAAAAGGTTTTAAAGGAGGAAGATCTTGAAGGTTCTTTTGGTGACAGGGATTCTGAATGGACCACCTCCGAGGTAGGGGAGGAGAGAATGTATAATGGCTTTGTTTCACCGGTCAGCTGATTTAAGTTGGAACTAATATTTGAGCTCAAAAATATAATTCAAACTGTGCAATTATGCATGTTGTTTTTTAGCGCTATCTAAATTATACCTACCAGTTACCGTAAGACACTTTTTAATGACAAAAACTCACATTTTTGTATCCCAGTGTTCTTGACTTCATCGCTAATCAGCTGATATGCGTTATTGCAGTTATCTATAATTTTAGTCTTATCGGGATTTCATCGTGAACAAGACCATAGACAAATAGAATTAAATATTTTAAATAAAATATATTAAAGATTTAATCCTATTTGTCTATTATAAGACTCAACATAGTGTTTCCCTAGCTTAAAGAGTGTGTTGTGTAGACCTACATTAAAATTAAATAATTTTTATGCCAAGAAAGGTTTAAAAACTATTTATTGAGTTATGTATTATATTATTATTTCTTTATTGCAAAAAAAATCCTATTACGTTGCTTTGTAATACAATTATTAAAATAGCACGGTGTACTAAATTAAACTAATAAATACAGTATAATCAATATTCAAATGGAACTAAACAATTTTGCTTGATGGCAGAAAATGTTAATACTGAGCAATGGCAATTATGTAATGCAGTAGTAACATTGATATACTCTTAAAAAATGGAAAAAAAACAATAACAAATAAATAATAAAATCGTTCGAATTGTTAACCAAAATTTATTAATATTAACATTGTTATAACATATGTAACAAAATATAACCTTATCATTATAGTATTTCAAATGTGTGATTCAAGTAGCTAAAAATCCACCATTTACAAAATTGTTGTAAAATGTTAAGTCTTATTCACAATAATACACTATCAATAACACTAAACCTTATGGATATCAGCTAAGTACAATGCATATCAGCTGATCGGCAATGAAGTAAACAGAGTTACCATTATAATCGCTGATTTTATCGTTTAACGGTTGTTGTATTGATTAAGGTTGCGTAAAAAATACCCTGTATAAATATTACATGTTTTAAATAATCATTGGAACACTTAAAATATAATTTATAAGCTGCAATGAAAGAACATTCATGGCTGTATCCTTTAACGGAAAAGCTTAATAAGATTATATGAAAACGTGATATTTATGGAAAGATAAATATATAATTTAACCAATCCATTTGGAAACAAAAATGGTTTCTTTAAGTGGATGTAGCTTGTAGTGTTTTGTAACTGTAAATCCACAAAAAAACTCGCTTGTAAATTTAATCCATTTCAAAAGATTCCGTACTATTTTCTTACGAATTTAAATCAAAACAAGGGATTTGCTGAGAAATAGTTCTTAGGCCGTTTATTGCTACACATTTCAAATACATAAAATACATTTAAGGAAAGATATTATGTAGGTTAATCTACATATCGTTGAAGAATATAATCTAAAAAATTTAATAACTATGAATAGTTAACAAAGTATGTCCTATAATAATTCAAAAGTATACTGATAATTTGTTATTGACTGTATAGGTAGCTTGCGAAAATTTCAGTACTTTTAACACGGTCTTTCCTTTCTAGGAGGAATTTTACATCGAGTACAATGATATAAGAAAATCAGCTGACAGAAAAATCGAAGCTTTGAAAAAGATTAGGACCACTGAAACTCCTACCACGGTTAAAAATATTTATAAAAATATAATTCAAGTTATAAATTAGCATGTTCATCAGTAGAGCCTTTAGACTTCTTATGAAGTTGGTACAAGTAGTGTGTTTTGTAATTTGTGGGTTGTCCTTAAACATATTTGTTTCAATTAAGAAATTGTTAATTTTTTAGCCGAGCAAACTTCCAATTCACAAAGTTACTCCAAAGCAGGCGTTATTTGTAAGTATTGATACTCATTTAATAAAGCAGTTTTAGTTAATTTAGCCTTAGCGTTACTTAGTTTTGGCAAAACTTTTAAACGTACCATTAATATGCAGAAAAAAGCAGTGATTTAATAAAAAAAATGATAACGTTAACAAAAATGCATTTATGATTAAAAGTATATTCTTATACAATGCAGATAACTTTTTTACAAAGGCATACTTTGAATTTACAATGATAAACGTATCAAACATAAATGTAGAAATCGTTCATAAAATCAAGTATCGTTTACAATTTATAGTTTAATATCATTCATGAAATATTTCTTGAATAAATATTGACAAAGGCAACATTTATAATTTATATTTTACTATTAAATTAAACCCGTGTGAATTTTGTACAAAAAGTACAGTTGAGCTTAAAACTATTGTTGATACAGTAGTTGACTCGGCATAGGCCAACTTTATTTTCAAATATATTATCCTAAAACATTTTAAAAATTAAATCCTTGTTGTGTATTAGCGGATTATTTATTGTGTTTCCATTTACAGGGAATTCTAAAACATAAAATACTGAGATTCGTTGACAACCTTATAAGATCGTCAAACAAAGAAATCTTGTGGAGAAATTAACTTCTAGTGGAGAAGATAGAATAATCCAAGGAATCATTATGGCTGTGTAGGTATGATCTTGGCCACCATGAAGTATACTGTACTAATTAGCAAGAGAAATTCCAATTTTAATTATATTCACAAACCTCATTTGGTGCTGAAATGAACAGGTATCAATACAATTTTAAAAACTAATATACTAACATACTACCACGTAATTAAAAAAAAACAAGTAAATTAATTTTACTAGACATATTTTGGTGAGAGAGTACATGCAAATTGGTTAACAGAACGACTCAAAAATTCTATCTTTTATATATTTATACTCAAATAAAAATATTTTTTATATCAATTAATTTTCCGTTTATTAATACCTATGTAATTAAAAAGAATGTTTAAATAATATATTTACAGGTTACTGTTTTACTAAATGCCTACAGATGATTTATGGGGGGAAGCTGTAGGCTGAAGTGAACGAAGTGTTTATGGCTAGAAAATATTAGCCTTCCGTAAATATTATTGGGATCTTCTTCAAGCTTACGTCTACCACTAGTGATCCTAGCCTACTATTATATCCAAACACATTCTTTGAGCTGTTACAAACACAGTTAATGTGTATATAAGTTCACTACCATACTCATTAGTATCAATGATTTTTGGGATCTTGTAGTGTTGGTAGTAAATGTGTTTCAGAAGTTTCATTATTGATATTGAACATATTTAAGTATATTTTGTTGATTTATAATTTAAATTCATGAAATAGGCTAAGTTTTGTTACGTTAACCAACTAACAATAATAATGAAATACTCACTACAAAGTCTATTACCAAAGAACACGGTGGTACTTTTGTACTTATCGATGTAGTGGCAATTTCAAAAGAATCAAGTCTTGCTTTAATGTTTTGTTCAATGTATAGTCAGACAGAACTGTAAAAGCACCTGAGCTCAGTAGGAAGAGTTAGACTTTCGTAAAAAATAACGCTATTTTAGAAAACTGAAATTGCATCCGAATGTCCAACCACCTTGGTTGAATGGTGGAGTATTAGAGCCTATAATAAGACCAATAATTTGTTTTGATAATAGTATAGCACTTTCACCCAATCTTTGAAGGGATATCTTAGGGCTGTCTGACTATAAGCTCATTGCAAACAGCTTTGAAGATCTCATTTTATAGAAAATCACTAACAAGATCAGTGTTTGAATTGATAAGTTAGTGCCTACAAAATGAGAACCCAAGACTTCACTGCTATTAATTCGTAGTCCGAGTGAGCCATTACTCATTGAATAAAATAAAGTTATAACCATGTAAAATATAAATACACCACCTGAACAAAAACTAAACTGTACCTGGCTCGCAAAGTTAATATCACACTGAAATTTATACGTCCATTGTTGGAACCTTTTACTCTCTAGAGAGTGTATTATGTGATGAAAGAGTATATTTACTTGATTCACCGTTCAACATTACAACAACTAGCTATCTCTTGTGATGATCTATCTTCTATCCTTAGCTCCTCCGTCTTCTTCCTTTCTTCTTCCTAAAAGGCGTTGAACTTAGTTAGTATCTTTGTTAAAATAATAATAACGGACACTTGTAAATCACGTGTAATAGAATTTATGTGTGTTTAAAAAAGGAAATAATGCAAATAAATTGAGTTAATGTAATATTATTCAGAATTTAGACAAATCTTTCATAAAATGTTATAGAAACAATAAAGGAAACAATAAAACTATTTATATGTAATTAAATTTATGGTTATATAAATGTATTAGGTACTCTAAGATAGTATATTGTAATTTGTAGTGTTCTCTTACAAGGTAAAAAATACTCTTGTTTTTTTACTAAATCAATTTAAACAATGAAAGTAATTTGTTTGCAGACAGATGAAAACAGTTTAGAATTATTCTTCTGTTTTGTGGCAGCTGCAAAAAGAAACTAATATTTGTCATTAAAATATCTTAATCCCTTCGTCCTAAGTAACTTTGTGAATCGTATAATCCTCCCCAAGCAACCAACTGCTTTAGGTGGTTGAATTGTAAAATCCCTTATAAAATATGAAGGAAAATAGGAATTGTTTTCACCAAAATGTATTGTTTATTTTGTCGTATGAAAGAAATTGTTTTTTCACCTAAAGCCAAATATATAGAACTTAGCACAAACCTGCAAACTCTAAATATATTTTCAGTCTTTTATGAGTAATAAATAATTCCCTCTAAAAACTGTAATTTGACTAAATGTACCTTTTTAAGTAGAGTTAAATTTTTTTTGTAGGTCCTAATTTTTGTCTCAACAATGCGGTAATTTAGACTCTGGGGAACATTTTATAATTAAGTTGGTGCAAAGTGTTTATCAAAAGTGTTGTCGTCTTAAAGCACTTAACTGCTGGAATTGGCAGGGCAGGTTTAATTAAGTTTTAAATTGTCTTTGCACTCAAGTAAAATACATAGTTAATCATACTTACCTTGAATAAACTGCTAACAAGGATATATGTCTGCAGTAAAATGTATTTTATTATTTGTGTCATATCCCTGAATTTGTCTTAACAACATATCGTTTAGATAGTATGTATAGTTTCAAATAATGGTCAAGACAGATGTTTATTGTTTCAATTTTTACATTTTTTATTTCTTATAGTTGTTCATTACAAATTATTATACAAGGTAGTTCACTTTTTAGTTAATCATTTAAAATAGTTTACATCTTATACAGTGCGTGAATTTAACAGTACAAATAAGACCAGGCAACCAATTCGAGTGACAGTAATTTGTTAGCAAAAAAACGACTAAAACATACTACCATAGATAAAACATACTCCCTTGTGTTGGTTAGTCTATGATACTACCTCTTAGATTTCGTCATACTTAAGAACACATAATCTCTCGGGAAGGTTTGCCATGCATTATGTAGGGTAAGCGTGGATGTGTACAATTTATTGTTCGTCTATCTTAAAATCGTGTGTCTTACTTTGAAACTGTTGAATTAAAAACAGTAACGTATTAAATTCAAACATGAATAAGGGTTTAAAAATACAATGCAACCCGGATAATAATGAAGAAACTATCTATATCCAGTAAACATTAACAGCTATTTTAATTTTTGAAAAAAAAACTGTTATTGGTGTTCTACTTAATTAAGCATTTTGCTCCTAAAACCAAACCTAGTACACCTTAAAAGACATAAAATAGTTTTTTGTTGAAATCACCACTGATTAACGGTTGTAGGTAAATGATACATTTTTGGTCAACCTAAATCTTGTATTTGAAATGGATTCCCATTAAAAGGGTTTTATAAAAGAGGATAACAGAGGGAGTCTCACTTGCGGTCTAGGTAGGAGTAGTTATGTAGGTACGACTTCTTGTTCTTAACATTAATGAAACCGTAAACACGTTTTAAAATCTGCCATTTAGTATTGGATCAATATTTACATAACTATATACACTGTTTTCATTGTTTTATAAAACTAATTCCTTTAAGTAAATACACAAAAGTGTTCTTTCACTCTAAGAGCTCATTTTCATTAGTTGGAAAGGTTTACTGTATTTGGTTTACTTGACTCAAACATTAAGATTGTTAAAATGGATTCACCAGGAGTGTAATCGGTCCTGTATAAAAGAATATTCACTTTACGCACCTAGAATGGAATTCAGTTATTATTTTTATGATCTAAATGTAAATGAGAACTACACACACGCCATAAAGGATAAAAGGCGCATTGGGGCTGTAAGAACTTTGAAGAGGAAAACTTTTGGGTTGGCTGAAGAGGGAAGAAAACATCATAAAACCATGTCAGAATAAGAGTTAACTGTATGAAGAGAGTATGTCTATTTACATAGTTTAGAGCTCTTTCTTAATTTGCCTCATTTCTATCCACGAACCCAAAAGTTTCCAAAGATCGTATACATTTTACATTTCCCTATAATATATTTTGTTCTTACTCATTTATATTTACTTCCTAAAGCAATACTTGCTTTGATATCCATACTTTTATTTATTACGTTTTAGATACAATTTTATGTTAATGGTTCAATTAGTTCTTTAATATTTCAATGATTTATCAAATATAACGTTGCAATTATGCTATTATGCAATATTATGCTTCGCAATAATAAGGTGGTAGTTTTTTTTTTTTTTTTTTTTTTTTTTTTATAAGGGAGAGGAGGTAAAAATGCTTTTACGCACACAGGTAGCCAGCCTGTAGTGTGAGACTTCTGAGCTTGTCAGACTACTCACTAAAAAACCCCCTCTATAATAAGGTGGTAGTAACACTAACAATTATTACAACGTAATACTTTCTTAACTGAATAATACAAGAGTACTAAATTAATATTGTTTTTAAAGTAAATCTAGTTTATTTTTTCATAAACAAGGCCATGGCTTTGCATTACAACAGTTTATTTCAGTTTTGCTGCACTATCTGACATAATTATACCAGTTAACGCCTTCCGGGTGGCAAACTTAATAATAAAACTTAGATACTTGTTTTAGAACAGAATTAATAAAAATATAAAAAATAAAACTATTTTGACCCTATTTTACTTCATAGCTTTAGGCATCCCAATCACATAAGGCAACGGAAATACTTAGTGTAACAAAACAAACAACCCGGACACGAAGAATCATATTTTCCGAGAAGTGCAGGAAATATTACATTTTTTGGTGGCAAAATGAGAGAGAGAAAAGTTGAGATATTTTATTTGATTCACGGCCCGGCATTACGAAAACTGAGATGTCATCGTGTGTATTTGTCTTGGACAAATAATATTCCAACTCTAAATTTCAACTGCTGTCATTTGTATTTTGTTTTATCTTTAGCACCCTTCATTAGATTTAAATTTTTGTAGTTTAAGATATGTTTTATTGTTTATAAACGTGTTATAGAAGTAAATATCTATAAAGTTTCTACAAGTGTGGAAATGTTGTGAGAAAAAAATTCATTCTATCCTTGAAATCCCATATAATCTTTAAAGAACTTTTTTTAAATTAACATTGTTATATTCGTAGATTTACAGTTTTACAAATTGAATTTCGATTTTCATGAATTATTAAAATATAATAAGTATATACTGTAGCTTTATTGAAGGCTAGATTGTTTATAACTTAAACTTTAACCTATCTTTGCATAATTCTAAATTAAATTATTTCTCCAGAAATATTAACAACTCGAATGGAAATCATTCAATTAAATAAAGTCTTTAACAGTTGTCTTTATCAGGTGTCTTGATAGCTTTTGTTTAAAAGGATTTGAATTTTTATTACTTTTTAGGCTAAGCATTTGATGAATCATTAACTTTGACCAAATATGTTTATCGAGGGAATTTTTTAATCAATTCTATTACTTTCTTATATTCT